TTTTATACGTATCCCTATGGCAAAACACGTTAGAGGGCTTCGGTTTGTCAAAAAATTACAAAAAATCGAATTTATTGGCATGAGGGTCTCTGGATACGACGGCTCTGTCGGTTCTCCTTCGCAGCTGAGGTTTCTTCTTCAGCTAACCTGCACAGAAAAGGACGGTGAACACAATGTTTAAAAAATTTTGTGAAAGGGAAAGTAGGAAGGGCCTCATCGGAGGAATTTTAGGGTTTCGGCCACAGCAACTCTGCCGGACTTTGCCCGTAATTTTTGGCTCACCTATCATCCATTTTGCTCTGATATGGCTATGGAGAGATTCGAAATCAATTTTCGAGTGGATAGAAGAAAATTTTATATTTTTTTGCGGTTGGTAGTGGCTCCGGTGTGGCGACGGTCAGGGGTCGGTCTCTTTCTCTGGCGGCTGGTCCTTCTTCTCCAGCGAGGGTAGAGTGGAGTCATTCACGAGTGCGAGATTGAATCTGAGCCATCAGATTGTTTGGCACGCGGATTGCCTGCGTGGCCTCCCACATGGCGCCGACATTAGTATGTTTGTCACACGGTGTGCTCTGGTTCGTCAGGGTTGCTAACTGGGCTGTCCTACGTGGCCGAATCTTTTCTTTTTGTATTTTGACCTTTTTTTTTTTAATTCTTCTTTCAAAAACACCATTTAAACTCAAATTTTTACTAATCTTCTCTAAAATTACTTTCAATTATGTCTCTAACCTATTTTTTAAAATATTTAATAAAATTAAATTAAAATAATATTTTTAATTATTTTTATAAACACAAAAATTGATTTCGGACCAAAGTTTGGATCCAGGTATTACAAAAATAATAAAATTATATTATAGAGTGATTTTGGTAAAAAGAAAAAGTTACTAAGAAATATATTTACATAAATATATTCTTACTAATGTCAAATTATAAAGAATATTGCATAAAGTGAAGGATAATGTTTCTTAAGAGTAACGCTTAGATTAAAAAAATTTGACTAGCAAAAAATAAAGATTAATTGTGCTTATGGATATCTTTGTAATTATGAAGAAAAATTAAGAAACACAAAATTTAATCTTGATGATATAATTATTCATGAAGATACTTGGAGGAGAAAAGAAGAACATTAGTTGATAATACTGAAATTATTTCATAGAATTGATATATGTTTTTTTATATTTTATAAGAAAATTATTTAATTTCTGAAATTTCTTATCTACATTACCAAAAAAAAAAACATTTGATAAGATAAGGACTTGAATTTATCTTGATTCATGTTTTTTTTAATTATTAATTTGATTACTGTGATTTCTTTTAACATCTTTAAATGTAAAGATCATATATTTAAAAAAAAAAATAGAAAGAAAATCAATGTGAAAGATAGCCATTTAATTGAGAGTCTATCAATCTAAAGGAGGCTGCACAGACAATCTTAATACCTCCTTTAAAGTCATGAGGGTCTTAGTTATTAACTGTAGATGATGGAATAGATCTTTTGTAGTACTAAGTTTGAATGTTCTTTTAGGTTAATATATAAACTTATATCTTTTTATCTGAAACTAAAGTCACAAAATGTAACATGATAGTTTGCATAAGTGAATTTTGAAGAAAGTTTATTTCTTGGACTTCCTCATCAGTGAATCCATTAGGTATAAAAAGTGGGTTGTGTTTGCTTGGAAGGGGTAATTTTTAGCCAATTCAATTTTGGTGGATATTAACTTTATACATGTTAAAAGTTTTAGATGGATGGAAAGACACTATGAAATTTTACAGGTGTTTATGGTCCTATACATTTTCAAATGAAAATTTTTATCCCTACACTAGTTAATATTGAAGAATCCACATATCTTCCATAGCTCATGCTTGGGATTTCAACATCACTCTATGAGATAAAGAGATGAATAATAGGCTTGCAAGCAGCTCGTGGAGTCTATGTACTTCATTAATGAAGCAATTAACCTAGTTGGGTATAATAAACTTAGGATTTGTTGGAAAGCCTTTCACGTGGAATAATAAAAGACCAGGCTTAGCAATGTTAGATAAAGGGATGACCACAAAAAATAAAATGAATTAATTTATATTTAGACAACTAAATTTTTTATCTGTCATAAATGTCTTTTGATCATTTTTTTCTTTTACAAAAGCTGGATAAAAAGAAAAAAAGAGATAACTGAATGGTAAGATTTGAAGAAATGTGGCACAGAAATAATAAATGATAAAAAGAGATAAAAAGTGCATGAAATAATAATTTTTTTATTTTAAAACATACAAATATTTTCTCAAAATTAAGAATACAAAAAAATTTCATCAAAGGTATGAAATTTTTCGATTCTAGAGGATCTTTTAAGTTTTGAACATAGTCTCCTACTTGTTTTTCTCTGCGTGGTATGTCAATCATCATTGTCCTGTTCTTTAACACTTTGCTTGAGCTCTCTCTCTCTCTCTCTCTCTATCCACTATGCTCTCATCTTTGCTTGAAATAAAGTTAAAGATTATCCAGATTTGAATTCTATAGAAGATGAGTAAAAACAAAATATAAATATGATAAAATTTTAAATGAAAATAGTATTTTAATATAAGATACGATGTCTAATTTAAATTAAATTTTTTTATATTTTTTTTCATAAATGAGAATATAAATATACTTATTGAATTAAAAATATGAAGAAAAAAAAAACTTATTAAATTATATAGTAAATGTGTAAATTTTCAGAAATAAAAAAATATAAATTTTGTTTAGGAAGGTGAGTCATGAGTCACTTAAATATTGTTATAGCCACATGTTAGAGAGTGAAGGTGTCTGAGTCATCAACCACGGTTATGTCCCTTCTTTTATTGGGATCAGGCGGTTTTCAACTCTTATCACCACCCCCCCCCCCCC